AGCAGAGAGAGAGAGAGAGAGAGAGAGAGGGGGGGTGGAAGGAGAGAAAGAGACTGAGCGAGAAACATAGAGAAAGAAAGAGAGATAGAGAACAAAAAGAAAGAGAGAGAGAGAAAGAGAGAGGGGGGGGGGGAGAAATAAGCTTGAAAGAACGTCTGTGAGGTGAGCATAGTTAAAAGTAAGATGAACACAAGAAGAGCCGGGCCAGCCCACGGACGTCACTTTTATCTCCATGTCTTCACCCTCAGACTCAAGGCTGAAAATTTGATCCACATATTATATACATGTATGCACGTTTTTCCCTTTTTTAGTTCAAGTTTTGCACACACACACACACACACAATTTTTAATGTAGAGCTGACCAATATAGAAAGAAAAAAAAGGAATGAGTCTGAGATCAGAGTCTGAGTGAGGAACGCATGACTTTGATGAGATGCACTTGCTTGAATTTGACATACTTCACAGAATTGATTCCCATTAATAAACCATTGAAAGCAAAGCAATCTCTGCCTCACGTTTCCATTGTTTGTTTTTTTATCTTTGAGTAAAGAGGAGCACATCGACACTATAATTGTCATTTAGAGCTGGGGGGAAGTAAGACAGACAGAAACAACAGAGGGAAAGTAAAGAAGTAATAATAATAAATAGCATTTGTATAGTATAGCGCATATCCCCGCTCAACAGCAGGCTCTATGCGCTTTACACTAAATTATTACCCCAGCAGACCAAGGAACACTCCGAAACTTTCTCAGCTTCCCGGGAAGCATACAATGCAAGCAGCTGATTAAGCGCTCAAAAACGAACAAACTGACAAGATCTTTCGCTGTCTAAAGCCGAGTACCCATTCCCACCTGGGTGAAGTGAGGAAAATTCGTGTAAAGTACCTTTCCAAAGGACACAACGCCGGGCCCCTGACGGGATTCGAACCCACGACCTCACGGTTGCGAGTCCGAGAGCCTAACCTCTAGGCCACCGACGCCACGTACAATCTACATTTCCAAATGATCGTCCCAATGTCTATGAGAGTTACCTGGCGCTCACAGCAAACTCTCGGGACTCCGCGACTGTCGCTCTAACGACCGACCATCGTCATCATTGCCTTTCTTACCATGGGTCAGGGTAAAGGCCACGAACAATTAATGAATACTTTCCATCTTCCCCTATCCTGGGCTAGCCTTTTGCTACTTTTGTTCCTTGTCTTCCCACTTTTCTGTACATCGATTTCTGTGACTCTTCTCCAGGCAGGCTCCACGCGGTCTTCCCCTTGATCTGTTACCCTGTGGGTTCCTATCCAACACGTTCCTTGTTATGTAGCTACCTGACTTCCTGAGAGTATGTCCAATCCAAACGACCGACCAAACGTACTTAAAAAATCTCTTATCCTTCATTTGCGTTCAGACCAAAGCAACGGCAACGGCCGAGTGTTTACTTTCAGTCTAGTCAGTACCTTTTGTTGGGAAAGGGCAAGGGTTAGACCGACTGTCGCTCGTCCAAGTGTTTGGTGCGATCGCGCGGTATAGTAGTAACGATGACATGGCTCTAAATCTTTAGAAAGGTTTTCTTTTTGGTCAGAACACAATGTACTAATTAGATGTCACTACTGTATTGCAAAGGGCTCGAAGCTTATATGTATACATGTACTACTTAACCGTATCCGATATCCGTACGTCCTGTTTTACTATCGTATCCATACGACGTGGGGAACTCTGTGCCACCACTTTCAAAGAGGAAATTTACTCGTTTATCCGATCCGTAAGCTTTGTATAGCAGTCTGTCAAAATGATTTTTTGAGTAATACTGAAAGTTTCAAAGAGATCTTCGTACAAGAAGTCGTATTCTAAAATATGAAGAATACAACCACGGGGGGTACAAGATGACCCCAGGGCGTACGGATAGGGTTAAATCGGAGTTGAGCGCTATATAAATGCCAGTCTTTCTACTGCTACTCCTTGGCTCTTTCTTACTGCTGTCTTTCAGCCACAGCCCTGATCTTATTCTTAGGGTAGGTAAGATCTAACACCTAGCCTTTTAGAATAAGGGGGGAAAAAATCTCGGCGGTCCCGTGTGTAAGTAGTCCATGTTAAATATCCCTTGGTGGTCCTAAAATTGATAAGAATAAGAGTAGGCTTAGGCCGCCATTTAGCCGCCACCCGGGAAAAATTCAAAATTAATTCCTTCCAAACCGAAAATGCTTAAAAGGTCCCGCGTGCTCACATGACCTTATGCAGTTGCGAGCCCCATAAAACACTTACCAAAAAAAAGGCAAGTAAAAGTACTTCACCTTTCTACTGGTTTTATTTGTGCCAGACTGCACCTTCAATTTCAAAATAGCGATGGTCAAAGACACAAACCCCTTAAGTCCTGAGACATAACTATACTTTTTTTAATAGAAGAAAAAAAATGTTTTTCTTACACCCGACAGCAGGACATAGATGTTGGATCACATGACCGTTCCGCACGTCTATATTATTATTATTGGTCGTTTTATGCAAGAAAAATTCTTAAATTAAGCAAACCGAGCCCAAAAATGTGAAATTATGCGATTCTGTTAATTTTAACAAAGAATGATAAAGGACAATAATCAGAAATTAGGCCAAAAAATGATCAAATTTTGCTAAATTATGCGGGGTGCATAAAACCACGGGGAAAGATAGGTCTGGCGGCTGGTACGTAAATAGGCATGGGATAAAATGAGAGTTTCCTTAATGTCTGGGAAAATAAAACTCTTCAGTTCTAGAGACGAGATCAATATACAGAACAAGAGACAGGCAGCCACAGTCATGTTTTGGTGAGTAGATTTTTTTTCCCTGTGTGTGTGTGTGTGTGGAGGGGGGGGGGGGGGTATACTTAGTCCACACGTAACTCCACTTTAAATTTTAGTAAGAGATTTGCAGCACTTGCAGCAAAATAAGGTGATATGAATGCCACAGATTAGAAGTGTTACAAGAGAGTAAACACAAAAAAGAAGGGAGGAGCGATAAGAATGATAGATGTTTGATAGGAAAGAAGGAGCCGACTACACCAGAGCACCCACCAACCACCCACTTAACCCCACTAAGCACTTCCTAAACAATCACAATACACAACAAAGTGGACAAAAACAAAAAGTCAATGAATATTCATTTTATTACACTTAATCCAGTGAGCCGACGTTATCAACTTGTCATATAATTTATGCATAAACAGTTAAAATAGTGCACTTTTTTCAGAAGTGTCTAATTTTTTTAAACATGTATTAAATGGAATACTAATACCACAAACGTATAGTTTCCACGAAGTATGCACGACCTTTTGCCTTTTGAAGTTTTCCGATAGTACAGAAAGACCAATTACACTTGCTGAAGAATTTATTTTCTAGACTCATAACTTTCATGGGTGACCTTCATCACACAGAGCTCTTGAAAATAAGATATGCTTGCGAACAAAAAAACCCAATTTTCTTATAGACTACATTATAGTACAGTCAAGCGAGCTCAAACAGCCACTTGTCCAAAACAATCACCTGTACAAACGACCACTTCCCATTTACGTTCTTGTTTTTGCTTTGGGCAGGGGAGGGTAGGGGGGTGTAATATTATTATGAAACTGTCCAAGACCTCCACCTGTCTAAGATAACTACTTTTCTCTTTGACAAAAGGGCGGCCATCTTGGACAATTTCGACTGTACATCTCAATCTCATTCCAGTCTTGTGGATCTTCCCATATCACGTAGGAGGCCAAGAGGTCATGACCTCGGCATGCTCAGACTCCTTGACCCACTCCAGGTATTCCCGCTGCAGAACTGTGGAGGCAAAAGAAAGGTTTGGTAGCGTTTGAATTTGATGAAATGACGGTATGGGTGGTTAACACATCTTTCGTTTTAGTTTAAGTTAGAATTTTACAGCATTTACAATACAAATACGACATAAAAGGGCTTAAGATTAGGTGTTACTCTAGAGAGAAACATACAAAGAAAAAGAAAGAGGAAATATAAGGACAACAGATGTTTGATAGGAAACAAAGGGCAAACCACATCAGAGCACCCACCAACCACCCACACACCCATTTCAAAAATATAGTTAGGGTAAGGTTGCTTAGGTCAGCTCACTAATTATGAAATTTGGGATATGGACCTAGGAACAGATACAATAACAGTTGTGCTGAAAAAGTAATGTAAAAAGAGCATATCACCAACCCCCCACCCCCACCCCTCACAAATTAAAAATCGTAAACTCATAAGCTCAGTATTTCAACTTCTAAAAGAACTATTCACATCTAGTGCAAGTAGAGAGAAAAACTCAACAGAACCGTGTTTTTAAAAAAACAGTAGCGTGTTCTTACACTTTGGACTTGTCTCCCACACTTTCGCCAAGGCGGCCCGCGTGTTACATCCCTGGCTAAGAAGAGCCTTGAGAAATCTCTCTGTCCGGGGCTGCAGTCTGTAGCAAGCACAAAGAAAGTTTAGAATATACATCATGGTTTATGGTTTTGTTTCTGAAAGCATATTACGGCATTAACATCACAATTAGGTCATATAAGCGCCGAAGATTAGTGGTATTACTAGATATTAACATACAAAGAAAAGGAGGAGAGATAAAGACGATACATGTTTGATAGGAAAGAAGGAGAGATAAAGACGATAGGAGTTTGACAGGAAAGAAGGAGGAGAGATAAAGACAAAAGGTGAGTGATAGGAAAGAAGGAGAGATAAAGACGAAAGGTGAGTGATAGGAAAGAAGGAGAGATAAAGATGATACTTGTTTGACAAGAAAGGAGGAGAGATAAAGACGATAGGAGTTTGACAGGAAAGAAGGAGGAGAGATAAAGACGATAGGAGTTTGAGAGGAAAGAAGAAGGAGAGATAAAGATGAAAGGTGTGTAATAGGAATGACGGAGCCTCCATCACATAGTCCAGCATGATATCAATTAAGCTTACAGAGCACCAGTTGTTGAAATGCTGTGAACCTAGCACCAATTAGGTATTAAAAAAGAACAGAAAGATGTGCTATAAAAGAGTAACAAACACAAAGAAAAGGGAGGACGGATCAGGACGATAGGTGTTTGATAGGAAGGAAGGAGCAAACCACACCAGAGCACCAGCCGAACACCCACATGGTTTATGGGCTTTGGGTTAAGTGTCATGAATGTGCAGAAGAAAAAACAGTTTCAACAGAGATTAATGGCGAACATTGACATCAAAAGCATGTCGGTTGTGAGAGAGCATTCCAGCAAAAAATTATAGATATCACCAACCCCCCCCCCCCCCCCCCCCCTACATCAGTTACTGCTCTATACTTCTATTATCTGGAGGAACTTGACTCTTACGAGCACATTCAAATATACAAATCTATAGCTTTCAAGCTATACATAGAGACTGTAAAGCACATAGAACTTGCTCTTGAGTAGGAATTTGTGCAACACAAATGATATGCATTAGTATCATAATCATCATCATCATCATTATTATTATTTTTATAATTATTATTATTATTTTTATCAAAATTATACATAATGCAGTAGGGCATGCATGAAGTTCCATGTTAAGACAAAACATCTTGGTTTGAGGTGTGAGGATCTTACTACAGTATGGTGTGATAGGCTGTGGGTTTGACATCGCCAAAAACCTACTATGTCAGTGACTCTTAAAACAGGCACCATAGTGAGAGTCCAATCTAATTCTGCACGGAACATTTCAAACAGCTTCTTGATATTCAAAAGAAACTTTCTCGATTGGAGTAGCAATACATTAGGAGTGTTTCAGAAAAAACATTACCAAAAAGAAAATAAAAGTAGCCATTTCTTTCAAACCATTACAATATATCATTGCTATCGCTAGAAATATATTATGAGAAATTTCTTTTACTTTGCCCAGCAAAGCGAGACCAGCTGGACTTATTCTTCTTGCTACAATGACTTATAAACTACTGTTCAAAAATTGTACTTTCGGCTAGTTTTTTTTTTTTAAGTTGTTTTTATGAGAGGGAGAGGAGGAAGAGACAAAAAGCTTAACAATTCCTTTTCATTATTCATTTTCCCAACAGAACAGCATACAAATACACCATGGGTATTTTTTTTTAGTTCACGATTCAAAACAAGAACCATGATTTGTAGCACAAAAGATGTGAATTTCATTTAATTCCCACCTGGGGAAGATACATAAACAAAAAGACAGTAATAGACGCTACGTATACGGGGTAAAAAAGAAAATAAATACTTAAAATAACAACTGTTCTTCTAATGAATGAAATGGAAATAGCGAGACCCCTTCCCCCGGAAACACGGCACCCCATAGTAAAGGATGTAGTAGAAGCCCACTTACTTAGCCCATGACTTGACCATGGTTGCAGGAGCCAGAGTGAGAGAGGACTTGAACCTCTGCAGCTGGGGGAACACCTCTCCATCCAGGAGAAACTTGGCAAACCACCGGAAGCACTCAACCGAATCAGGAAACTCCATCTCAGTGGCAGGAAACTCCCAGTTGCAACGGCCTGAGAGGGGAAAAGAAAGGCATGGTTCTCAGAAAAGGAAAAAGAAACACTGTTTTCTGCAAAATAAACAGAAACACCGGGTTTGATATAGAGATACTAGATGTCAAATGAACAGATGTGTTAAACTTGCAATTATCATAAAGTGCCAGATCAGGCACAGTTTGAGTAAATAGTCAACATAATGACAGTCATTAACTATATGGAAATGCCGAAAAACAAGTCAGACAGACAAAAATAACAGAAGGAAAAAAACAGCTCCCCCTTCCCCTTCAGACCACCTGCCAATCCACCTAAGATCAAAAGAACAAAACAGCATCCTTCAAGAAGACAACATACCAAAACTTCCAGAGCGGTGACAGCGCACCGTGCCCGAGTCAGCATCAAACCTCGGGGCTGGCTCCTCCAAGGCTTTCGACAAGAGGCAATGACTAGGGGCCAGCTCGGGGAACCAGTGGGGTTCGACACAGCACAGACCTGCAAAACGACCACCAATAATTAATTCAAGTAATAGCAAAGACAAAATAAAAACCCATCGTTAAAAAAATAAAACAATGTTTATATACAGATGAAATTGTCCAAGACAGCCGCACAACGTTGAGGGGAGAAGTGGCTGTTCAAGGCAGATGAACGTCTTGTACAGAGTCATTGGTTATGATAGGTTGTTTTTTTAACGCAAGAGAAGAAGTAGGAAGTGGCCAATTGAACAAGTGATTGCCTTGGACAGGTTGCCATAAGAGCAGGTTCAACTGAATAATCTAACAACCTAAGGTATGGCTAACACTTCTATAAAAGATAAATCTTTCTCTTTCTCTTGCCCTTTTTAACTCCTATTGGAGCATGGGCCATCAACAACATTTCTCCAGCAAAGCCTGTCCTGTGCATCCTTTTCTAGTTGTTTCCATGATGTCCCCGCCTTTTCCCTTCTGGTCACCGGGAGGTTTCTCGGTTCGGTGGCTTCATAAAAGATGAATACCAGCAAGATATTTATAAGGTGAGACTTCCAAATGTCACGCCCCTCTGTAACAACAGGACGGAGCCAAAGGATCTAATAACTGTAAATGATTGTTCACATTTCACATACGTATCGACACACACAAAAAGATTTTAATGCTTTAGGAGGAAGGCTGCTTCGCCTGTTGTACAAAAACTTCTGTGTGTACCTCTCTCTCTAAAGTGGCGTTGGTAGTCTAGTGGTTAAGCTACCGGACTCGTAATCGTGTGGTTGTGAGTTTGAGAATTCGAGCCGCGGGCCTAATGTTTTGTCCTTGGGAAAGGCACTTAACATGAAATTTTCCTCACTTCACCCAGGTGGGAATGAGAACCCGACCATAGACAGCGAAAGATCTTGTCAGTATGTTGGCGTTTTAGCGCCTATAAATGGCAGCTTGCATTGTATTCTTCCTTCACTGTTGAGATTGTAAAGATCACAGGGCGGGAATTCGCGCTTTTCAAAATCTATCTATTATTAGTAGTAGTTGTCGTAGTAGTAGTAGTAGTATTATCATTATAATTACCTCTCATGTAGAGCCTGGAGGTCTCCAGCATGGATTGGTACACCACAAACTCCACCTCCGTGTTGCGGAAGAGAGAGGACTCCGGATGGATGTACGCAGGCTCCTCCAGCTGGGTGCACTGAAAGGCTCCCTTCAGACGTTTCACCTCCGCCTTGTCCGCGCCCGGGGGTGGGCCAGGACTTCTCCTTTGAAAGAACAAAAAGGAAATGAGCTAGTTGAAAATGACAGGTTAAAAAATGAGTATACACTCTCTCCCTCCCTGCCTGCCTGCCTCTCTCTCTCTCTCTCTCTCTGTCTGTCCCTGTGTCTCTGTCTCCCTCCCTCCCTCCTACATCTCTCACTCTCTCTCTAGCATCAGGTCTGGAAATTGCATTGGTGTTCATATTTGCTGATTACATCTTTTAGTTTGCTATGGTAAAAGTTTTGTGGCACTTGCAACACAAATAGGTCATATTGGTAATCATACTGCATACAAATGTCTAAGAAATCCCCACAGCTGGAAGTATAAGTGGGTAATTAGAGGTTGCCACTGGTAGGTCCTACATTTTTTTGTTTCTATCAATCAGTCTTGATTTTTTCCATGCATCAATTAATGATATCAACAGCTTTTGTTCAATTCCGCTATACATTATTTTGAAAAGTAGCGTATGACGGAGTCTGACCCTAAGCAGTCGATATGTTTCCCTTTACACAAACTAAAACCCTACAGCTACGGAAAATCTTCTTCTCTAAAAGTTTCTCCTTTCACATCTTTTCCAGCTCTCTAACCTTGTTCTGTCATCTGATTTTGTCTCCACTAAGAGGTACCCTGTGCAAATTGCACACATTAAAGATCCCTCGGTGGTCCTAAAATTGATATGGGTAGGCTTCGGCCAGCACCCGCGCAAAATTTTAAAACTCCTAACAAACTGAAAATGTTTAATGTGTCCTACGCGCTCATATGACCTTATTCTGTTGCGAGCACCGTAAAACACATGCCAAAAGAAAAAAGAAAGAAAAAAAAACAGAAAAGAAAACTATAACAAAACTACACATACAACATGTATCAGTGAAGACTTTACCTGGCAACATGATCAGCGAGCCCGCCCAGGACGACCTTCCTCAAAGCCAATGTCTGCTCATCAGAGGGCGGTGCCAGTCTCGGATTGACCACCATGTCGTCCTCAGGGAACACGATGTTGGCTGGACACCACAAAAACATAGCAGGAAAATGTATTCATCCATAAGATTCAGTCCAAAGCAGCATACGATTAGAGAACTAGAATAAAATTCAATTTTAAATCGATCCCCATGAAAAATTTGGCTTGCAATGACATGCATATATTATTATATGTACATACAAGAGCAAATATCAACTAACATAAGATCATATGACCACTTTAGCTGTATGTTGAAAAATTGCAAAACATCACATACACACACACACACACAAAAGCCAGATGTCCCATAAAGCGGCATTCTTCTTGTAATCTAAAAAGATGCACTTGTTTTGTAAATGAACACACTCCATTGGCCATCTAATCAAAAGCTGTTCCTACTCAACATTGCTTGACATTTTCAATTACGTAAACAAAAATTCGCTGATTGTTCAACTATTCAGTTCCTAAACATATTCTTTCATACACTGATACAGAACCATTTTATCATCCCTTTCAAAACCGTGAGATTGTCAAAGAGGCAGGACCGACAATTTAACATCCAATGGGTTATTCTCCAAAGCAGACAGAAAGAGAAACTGATGATGTCTAACATGCAAAGCCCCTCATGTCGTTTGAAAACAGTGACTGGTTCAATTTTTTGTTCAGAAAAAAGTTCATTAATACATTTCAACTCAATAAAATGAGAAAACTGTCTAATCGTTCCTAAAAAGCAAGTCTGACACCAATTCTTACAAAAATAACTTCTTTGCAGAAAGTAGCAACAAAAAAACTTCAGAGACTGAACTTTTGGCGCCGGTAGTCTAGTGGTTCAGCCTCAGGCGTACCTCAGGCCCAACGTTGTGTCCTTGGGACAGGAACT